GCTGAGGAAGAAATAAAATAACCGCACAATTCGAGCAGAAAACTCCCCGCACGTTTTACGCTCGAAAATTCATCCAAACTATGTTGATAGGGAAGAAAAACGTATATATTTGAGGAATGCGTTCGATTTCCAACGCCCCATAGTTCGAATTTGGGCATCAGAGTGCCCGTGTTCAGCTGCGTGGGAAGCGGCGCCTATTCGAAATGAATGAGACTTATATTTGGAAGTATCGAGTCCACAGAAGCGGAAAGCCTTTTTAAGAAGATTGGCAAACTCGTCACACGAGACTGGAATGCCCAGTTGTGATAGAAAAATAGCTCCGGGCTGGGTACCTCGCAAAATCATGTACTCCTCTAATAAGCGAACAGGACAGCATGCCGTTTGCCTGTAAATTTCCAAACTGAAAGGTCTACTGTTATAATTGTGCTTGAAGTCCTCGAAAGTCAACCTTATGCCTGCAACCCGGCCATCATCGGGAGATATTTTGGAGAGTTGTCGCAATTGAAGGGGTTCGTTATTTGACTTCTTAGTTATTTCTCCAATTCTCAGGAACGCGAAAAATGCTAAAGAGCATATTGCCCGGAGTTGACATATTTGTTACGGTGACCCAGCAATATGAGGCGCAGCCTCAATAAGACGATTGAGAATTGGTAAAGTTATAGGCAACCTACTATCTAAGCGGAAGCCTTTCTTACCATACCCCTTTAAGATTTGCGTTACGTAGAAAACTCTCGTTGGATCCGGTAGATCGGACATGCGATGAGTATAACCAAGTGCAGATACATAAGTGTTAACTGTTGAAGAGGCGTACTTGAGGTCAAATAAGTACGCTATGAATAACGCAACGACTGAGGGCGCAAAGGCAAAGTGAACGATCCCTCATTAAAAATTGCCATGAAATTGCGTAAAAAGTGCCCATGCCGTTTATAAGTCGGCACTGAAGAAGGTTGCAAGCTACTTTGAGCTAATTGAGAAAACTATAGTCGCCAATTTTCTGGCAGCAGGTGAAAGGGAATAGGCGTTGGAGCTCGATGCATGTCTGCCGGCGCCAATTGTGAAAATTTTTGGAGCTGTAACGAGACAAACAATCAGCTAGGACATTTTGTTTACCCGGTAATATGCTTTGCTTTGAATAAAATATTGTATTCTAAACAAACTAAAACCATCCGGCGAACGAGTGTCATGATATAAGAATCCTTTGATGTTTGCTTATTAATAACAGACACCAAAGCTTCATTATCCGTGAGAAACAAAATACAATGATTGCGCATTTTTAATCCCCATAAACACAGGCTGAGAACAATCGGATATAGCTCTAGAACGGCAATATTGTAACTCCGCCAGTCAGTTGGCCATGCGCTATAGCACCAGTCGCAACCAAACAGGGCCCCAAAACCAATACTACCCGAAGCGTCAGTATATAAATTCAAATGGGAGTTATTACGCCAATGGTTGCAAAAAGAATGATTTGCCGTTGAAATTCGACAGAAACGTTTGCCAGACACGAAGATCATGTTTCACACTTTGCGTTAAGCGAATAAAGAAATAAGGGTGTGAAATGCCACGCGTTAGATCAATTAAGCGTCGCAGGAATGCGCGACCTGACGCATAATGACGGAACATGCGAAATTAAGTAATCCAATTAAGGACTGAAGTTCTTTGAGTGTAACCTTTTTACGAATTAAAAAGCGTGCGATAGATTGAACACATTTCTCGATTTTATCCATCGGCAATCGGGCCTGGAATTGTATTGTATCTAATTCAATCCAGCGAACGTTAAGGTTGTTGAGGGACCCATGGTTTTTCCCGGTGCTATATGCACGCCAATGAAATCACAAAGAGCAATGAATACTTGTAAGTTTGTTTACAAGCAGAATAATCCAGTGCAACAAACAGGAAGTCGTCGAGCAAATGAAGGAGTTTGCCGATGTTAAGCCTTTCCTTAGCGATCCATTCGATAGCCGTACTAAAAATCTCAAAAGTGCGACACGAACTGGGGCAACCCATTGGCATGCCCGGTCGTAATAATACAAACTCCGCCATTTTATGCCTAAGAGGTGATAATCCGCTGGGCTGAAGGAATGATTCGAAAAGCATTTTTTATATCTGTTTTCGCCAGGAAACTACCCCGGCCGCTTTTTTAATAAGTTGAATAGCGTCGTCAACGATAGCGTACCGCACAGATGTTTCGAAATCGGGTATACCATCATTAACCGATGCTCCCTTTGGAAACGATAAATGATGAATCATGTGAAAATCACCCGGTTGTTTTTTAGGAACCAGGCCCAAAGGCTAAACACGAAAATTTGGAAAAGGCGGATAATTAAATGGCCCAGCAAGGCGAGATGCCTCTAACTCTTTCGTTAATTTTTGGTCAACCGCTTCTGGTTTGTCAAGAGCAGACCGTAAATTTATTGCTTCAAACGACTGTTCTGTGCCAGAGAAATGAATGCGAAAACCCGAAGTAAATCCGGAAATTAGTGTATCAACAATACTTGGATTATAACCTTCTAACAATATTTGTAAATTATGAAGTTTTACGGGTGTTGCCAACGGACGTTGTTGAAATAGGCCTAGGCGATCGATCAGTGGGAGATGGTCGTTGTTGGCACGAAAATTACAATTCACGGCACGGTGCGATCCGTTGCATTTAAAACAAATGTGCTTGAAATCACAACCGGCACAAAACGTTCCGCGATAAAACTTAAAACAATATCCCCGAGGAACAGACACTTTTGAAGGGTGGCGCGTATGATTGCTGCCTTGCGTGTTCGGCTTAGAAGTAGTGGGATATTGACATTTCAACCATAACTCCCAGTGAACAGTCGCCCAGGGAACCCGCGTGGCCTGTGTTTGGCGCAAAAATCGAAAATTCTCATCGTAGTAAAACCAATTATGACCCCTATTGACCAAATCCTGGATGATTTGACAATATTTCATGAGCGCGGGGGACTCATGGGGGTACCGTTGTGTATAAATGGAAACAAAAATATAAAACGAACGAAGCCAATCGCTAATAGTTTTCACCCTTTTGGATTTCGCAGTCGGCTCAAGGAGAAGAGAAGCAGGTTGACCGTTGTCAGAGGTACGTACACTAATCTCGTATTTAGCGGCCGCGTCTGGGCCACCTGACAAAGTACTTATATCGACAAACTCCTCATTCCATATTTTAAGCTTTATTTTATCCGGAATCCGCGAATCAAGAGGCAAAGCGGCAGAGTGGAACGATTCCCGTGGACCCGGGGCACTTGAACATTGAAGAGAAAAAGGAGTGGTCTGACCTGTAAGGTTTTCTTGTATGGACGTGAGTGCGTCGTTGACCAGAGAATCTGCATTGGGACCTGGTTTGAGATTTCGATTCCGGAGGTAGAATCCGTTGGGGCAGACGCCATTGTGGATGTGGAAGACGCAGAGGTTGGTAAGAAACCAGCTAGCTTTTGCGTGACTGCCTCGGTAACCCAAGACAACGGCGTTGAGATAAGCTCACTCGAAAGAGAGGGCAAAGTCGCTTGACTCACGGGCACAGTTGACGTTGACGGGGCGGCACCAACAGATACAGCATTGCACTGTAAAAACTGAATGGTTGAAATGACCAAAAAAAAAGGTTGCAACCATATAAAATGGTTGTTCAACCAATTAAATTGGTTAAAACCAAATTAAAATGGTAGAAATAACCAATAAAAAAATTGGTAAAATGGATATGAAAGCTCATATTGGTAAAAACAACCAAATATATTTAGTAGCAACAAATAAAATTTGGTTAAATTGACCAATTAATCTTTGTGGTCAATGGGGTATATTTGTAGACCTCTGGTTCTATGTTCTATTGAATCCAATAAAATATGCTAGAATGCTATCTATAGCACATTCTAAATCCTATGGCTATAGAATATTCTATAGGACTTCTTATGATCTTATGCTATATAGAATTCCATTGCCGTATTCTATAGAATTTACAAATCCTATAGAATATTAAATCTTAAAGTTAAAATTCTCAGCAAAAATCACTCGTTTTGTAAGGACAAATCACACATATTTCACACTTATCTGTAAACTGTTTTCATAATATACCTGTTCGCAGGTTAGGTGGCGGGCGTTTTGCCCAAAAGGACCGCAAGGTTATGTGGGACTTGTATAATAACCGACACGCTTTATTTTCAAATTTTGAGCGCGTCTTTGACTCTTGTCATCGTTTCGTTCAAGGTTTTTCTTTCGTATTTTAACATAAAATACGCGTTATTTGAATTTGTCAATGAGTAGTCATGCGAAATTGGTGAAACACGCTGGATTAATATGCGAGGAGATCCGGATTATTTGTGAATAGTGACTGTGATCGCGAGGAAGAAGTAATTGTGTCATGGCCATGTGGAATTTCTAAAGTTGATAAGAAAATGATCAAAGGTTCCATTCAACTATCTACAATTTCAACAACAACATGTGTACAGCTAAAGTATTATAATTCAGTGGTGAGTGTGTTTGTATATAGTATATGTTTATATTTAAAATATTGACTATTTTTTCAGATCAGACTTTGTATGGCTGCTGGACACTTTTTCAAACTTTGTCCAGCTGTCACATGCCTACTAGTATTAATTAAATATGAAATGCCCTCTATATATAACCATGCACTGAGTCATTTAAAAGATTACTTTATTCACTCCATCAAGGCTTCAAGATCACCTTTAAGTGCAAGATTCTTGTGACTAATGCTGAATCAGAAATCCTCAAATTCTGATGCTGAATCAGAAATGGCAAGTATTATTGTATTTATGCTGTCAAAACTCAAACAACTGCAAATCCTACTTCTGGTGAATCATATAGATAATATAATATACCTTTTATTTATATCATTATAAATAGGGCCATTACAACTATTCCGGTTTCTGTCAATGCTTTTGCAGTACATTTATAAATTCTATAGCTATATCATGGCATCATGCTAAGAATGAATAAGGTGTCAAATGTTTTAAATTTCATATTTACTGTTAAAATTTACAGATTTTCTTATATCCAAACATATTAACCAAAGGTCAAAATTTGGTTTATGCAATTATGGGCATGTCGAGGATGCAAGAACAACTTTGCTCTCATTCCATACCTGGGAAACTTTCAAATGTCTTTAAAGAAAAGGATGCAAAACCCCAACTCGACCCAGAGAAAGTTAAGAGTATATGTGGTAAGTAGTAATTGTTAGTAACTATTTGTGGAAGTTGATATATCTTATATACATATCTTGGTTTAGTTAATTGTTGACTTTTACTTTTTCTGTGTGTAGAGCATCATTTCGATGCACATGTTTAAGATGCCCAAACATTGATTCAAAGAAGCCATCAATGCTGGCTGCTCTGGAAAAGAACAAGAACAAAGATGTCCAACATATTATTGGTCTATTAGAGGATTGTCACCCGAACTAGAAAAAGGTATCTACAGATATATATGTATATAATATACAATGTTGAACTATGCAAATCACATTTATTATGTTGCCTGCTGAATCTTGTAATCAAACTTATTTAATAGAAATTGAAAACCATTGCATCTACACTGCCCCGCTGCATCAGTTGAGGCAGAGAAAGACCTGGACAATTATTTTGGGAAATTGTCCCTGTAAATATTAAACTATAGTTCAAGAGTTACTCCATAAGAACTAAAAATATGCTCAAGTGGCTGCTTGTGAAGTGTAGGGTCTTGCTCTTTTGTGTCCCAGGATTTTTCCCATATGTAAATGTTTTATTTCCAAGCTTAGGAATATAAAGTTTTATAATTTTTGAATTTTATTTTAGGATAACAGTGGTGTTGAAATTTAGACCATTGTAAAAAAAAGAACATTCCCGAAGTTGCTATTAACTGGATCTCTTGGTGACATCCATTCACTAGACCTTTTGGCTGAAGGCATGGTAGCAATAAAGTTTAAGCAGTTTTCCATCTTAAATGCTGTTGTTGTGTTTGCTGACTGCATTGTATGTATCCAACGCAGAGAACCCTAAAGATGGAGGTGGGTAGACAAAGAATGTGTTCCTTCTTCTGGACCAGATATTACTACAAACAGACGGAAAAACGAACATTCCAATTGGAGTTAAAACTTTTTACCGCAGCTTTGAGAACCTAGAAATGACTTAAGTATAGATAGATGAATCCTAGTAAGATAAGTGTTTGAATGTAGTAATTTGTATATATGTATGCAAATAACCATTAGGATAATTTATTTATTATATTAGATCTTTTATAATATATATGTGTGTTTTGACAAAATTTGATTTGAAGTGCTCTGAATTTCAGGATAATTTAACCAATCTTTAATTGGTTGAAATAATTGGTCAAAAAAAACCATTGCACATTGGTTACATTAACCAAATTGAATATAGGTTACATCAACCTATTAAATATTGGTAGATTCAACCAATATTAATATTGGTAATTTTAACCAAAATGAATTTGGTAAAAAAATAACCAAATTTTAATTGGTTGTCCTGGTTGCATCCAGGAGAACCTTTTTTTTTTGGTTGTTTCAACCATTCATTTTTTACAGTGTGGACGAACTTCGAGTTCGACGAGATGTTGTTGGTTGGTTCTGAACAGACTCTCGCAAAAACGGCTGATGGAGCGGCGACACGCTTAGAACGACGTACGGGTGGCATTCTAAGAAATAAAACTTTAAAAGCAGAAATAGATACTTATGGCGTAATGAGTTTTTAGATAGTAAAGCAACCGCACCCAAATTTTGTCGTTGTGCGAAAAATAAAACTATCCCCCGTAATGGCGAACATTCAATAGTGAGGATTCGTCCGTTATTTGTCGTAATTGAAAATTGGAACTTGTGAAAGAATGATTAGAAAATCAAACGTCAGCAGGATGAACATGGCAGATCCGAAGATCGCCGCACCGTTCACCCTATGGCCAACAAAACTCACAAAAAGTGTGAGAACTCTCATACAGATGAGAGATAAAGACAAAATCAAACGTCAGCAGGATGAACATGGCAGATCCAAAGATCGCCGCACCATTCACCCTATGGCCAACAAAAAACTCACACAAAGTGTGAGACCTCTCATATAGATGAGAGATAAAGACAAAATCAAACGTCAGCAGGATGAACATGGCAGATCAGAAGATCGCCGCACCGTTCATCATATGGCCAACAAAACTCACAAACAGTGTGAGAACTCTCATATAGATAAAAGATAAAGATATAATAGATAAAGGCGCTAAAGCGGTATTTAAGAAGTAATCACGAGTAAAGTTGTCAAATGTCAAGTTATATTATAAAAGTAAATGTAATGTACGACAGCTTGTTATATATATATATATATATATATATATATATAATATATATAATATATATATATATATATATATATATATATATATATATATATATCTATATATATATATATATATATATATATATATATATATATATAACAAGCTGTCGTACATTACATTTACTTTTATAATATAACCTTGACATTTTGCAAACTTTACTCGTGATTACTTCTTAAATACCGCTTTAGCGCCTTTATCTATTATATCTTTATCTTTTATCTATATGAGAGTTCTCACACTGTTTGTGAGTTTTGTTGGCCATACACTGTAAAAACTGAATGGTTGAAATGACCAAAAAAAAAGGTTGCAACCATTTAAAATGGTTGTTTCAACCAATTAAATTGGTTAAAACCAAATTAAAATGGTAGAAATAACCAATAAAAAATTGGTAAAATGGATATGAAAGCTCATATTGGTAAAAACAACCAAATATATTTAGTAGCAACAAATAAAATTTGGTTAAATTTACCAATTACTCTTTGTGGTCAATGGGGTATATTTGTAGACTTCTGGTTCTATGTTCTATTGAATCCAATAAAATATGCTAGAATGCTATAGCACATTCTAAATCCTATGGCTATAGAATATTCTATAGGACTTCTTATGATCTTATGCTATATAGAATTCCATTGCCGTATTCTATAGAATTCACAAATCCTATAGAATTTACAAATCCTATAGAATATTAAATCTTAAAATTAAATTTCTCAGCAAAAATCACTCGTTTTGTAAGGACAAATCACACATGCATGTATCTGTAAACTGTCTTCATAATATACCTGTTCGCAGGTTACGTGGCGGGCGTTTTGCCCAAAGAGGACCGCAAGGTTATGTGGGACTTGTATAACCGACACGCGTTATTTTCAAATTTTGAGCGCGTCTTTGACTCTTTGTCATCGGTTCAAGGTTTTATAGTAGAATTTAGTGAGTTTTTCTTTCGTATTTTAACATAAAATACGCGTTATTTGAATTTGTCAATGAGTAGTCATGCGAAATTGGTGAAACACGCTGGATTAATATGCGAGGAGATCCGGATTATTTGTGAATAGTGACTGTGATCGCGAGGAAGAAGTAATTGTGTCATGGCCATGTGGAATTTCTAAAGTTGATAAGAAAATAATCAAAGGTTCCATTCAACTATCTACAATTTCAACAACAACATGTGTACAGCTAAAGTATTATAATTCAGTGGTGAGTGTGTTTGTATATAGTATATGTTTATATTTAAAATATTGACTTTTTTTCAGATCAGACTTTGTATGGCTGCTGGACACTTTTTCAAAACTTTGTCTAGCTGTCACATGCCTACTAGTATTAATTAAATATGAAATGCCCTCTATATATAACCATGCACTGAGTCATTTTAATAAAAGATTACTTTATTCACTCCATCAAGGCTTCAAGATCACCTTTAAGTGCAAGATTCTTGTGACTGATGCTGAATCAGAAATCCTCAAATTCTGATGCTGAATCAGAAATCCTGGATGCAAGAACAACTTTGCTCTCATTCCATCCCTGGGAAACTTTCAAATTATGCCTTTAAAGAAAAGGATGCAAAACCCCAACTCGACCCAGAGAAAGTTAAGAGTATATGTGGTAAGTAGTAATTGTTAGTAACTATTTGTGGAAGTTAATATATCTTATATACATATCTTGGTTTATCTAATTGTTGACTTTTACTTTTTCTGTGTGTAGAGCATCATTTCGATGCACATGGTTAAGATGCCCAAACATTGATTCAAAGAAGCCATCAATGCTGGCTGTTCTGGAAAAGAACAAGAACAAAGATGTCCAACACATTATTGGTCTATTAGAGGATTGTCACCCGAACTAGAAAAAGGTATCTACAGATATATATGTATATAATATACAATGTTGAACTATGCAAATCACATTTATTATGTTGCCTGCTGAATCTTGTAATCAAACTTATTTAATAGAAATTGAAAACCATTGCATCTACACTGCCCCGCTGCATCAGTTGAGGCAGAGAAAGACCTGGACAATTATTTTGGGAAATTGTCCCTGTAAATATTAAACTATAGTTCAAGAGTTACTCCATAAGAACTAAAAATATGCTCAAGTGGCTGCTTGTCATGTGTAGGGTCTTGCTCTTTTGTGTCCCAGGATTTTTGCCATATGTAAATGTTTTATTTCCAAGCTTAGGAATATAAAGTTTTATAATTTTTAACTTTTATTTTAGGATGACAGTGGTGTTGAAATTTAGACCATTGTAAAAAAAGAACATTCCCGAAGTTGCTATTAACTGGATCTCTTGGTTACATCCATTCACTGGACCTTTTGGCTGAAGGCATGGTAGCATAAAGTTTAAGCAGTTTTCCATCTTAAATGCTGTTGTGTGTTTGCTGACTGCATTGTATGTATCCAACGCAGAGAACCCTAAAGATGGAGGTGGGTAGACAAAGAATGTGTTCCTTCTTCTGGACCAGATATTACTACAAACAGACGGAAAAACGAACATTCCAATTGGAGTTAAAAACTTTTTACCGCAGCTTTGAGAACCTGGAAATGACTTAAGTATAGATAGATGAATCCTAGTAAGATAAGTGTTTGAATGTAGTACTTTGTATATATGTATAAATGCAAATAACCATTAGGATAATTTATTTATTATATTAGATCTTTTATAATATATATGTGTGTTTTGACAAAATTTGATTTGAAGTGCTCTGAATTTCAGGATAATTTAACCAATCCTTAATTGGTTGAAATAATTGGTCAAAAAAACCATTGCACATTGGTTACATTAACCAAATTCAATATAGGTTACATCAACCTATTAAATATTGGTAGATTCAACCAATATTAATATTGGTAATTTTAACCAAAACGAATTTGGTAAAAAAATAACCAAATTTTAATTGGTTGTCCTGGTTGCATCCAGGAGAACCTTTTTTTTTTGGTTGTTTCAACCATTCATTTTTTACAGTGTATGATGAACGGTGCGGCGATCTTCTGATCTGCCATGTTCATCCTGCTGACGTTTGATTTTGTCTTTATCTCTCATCTATATGAGAGGTCTCACACTTTTTGTGAGTTTTTTGTTGGCCATAGGGTGAATGGTGCGGCGATCTTTGGATCTGCCATGTTCATCCTGCTGACGTTTGATTTTGTCTTTATCTCTCATCTGTATGAGAGTTCTCACACTTTTTGTGAGTTTTGTTGGCCATAGGGTGAACGGTGCGGCGATCTTCGGATCTGCCATGTTCATCCTGCTGACGTTTGATTTTCTAATCATTCTTTCACAAGTTCCAATTATCAATTACGACAAATAACGGACGAATCCTCACTATTGAATGTTCGCCATTACGGGGGATAGTTTTATTTCTCGCACAACGACAAAATTTGGGTGCGGTTGCTTTACTATCTAAAAACTCATTACGCCATAAGTATCTATTTCTGCTTTTAAAGTTTTATTTCTTAGAATGCCACCCGTACGTCGTTCTAAGCGTGTCGCCGCTCCATCAGCCGTTTTTGCGAGAGTCTGTTCAGAACCAACCAACAACATCTCGTCGAACTCGAAGTTCGTCCAATGCTGTATCTGTTGGTGCCGCCCCGTCAACGTCAACTGTGCCCGTGAGTCAAGCGACTTTGCCCTCTCTTTCGAGTGAGCTTATCTCAACGCTGGTGTCTTCGGTTACCGAGGCAGTCACGCAAAAGCTAGCTGGTTTCTTACCAACCTCTGCGTCTTCCACATCCACAATGGCGTCTGCCCCAACGGATTCTACCTCCGGAATCGAAATCTCAAACCAGGGTCCCAATGCAGATTCTATATATATATATATATATATATATATATATATATATATATATATATATATATATATATATATATATATATATATATATATATAGATAGATAGAGAATTTTATAACATTTTAGTTGCTTGAAGAATGGCCCCCCGATAACTTCGGTATAATTTATATTGCCCGATTCGATTAAAATGGACCCCGTCAGGTAGAAATGGCGTCATGGAAGGTCGTATAAAGCCATGGTGTGTCCATAAAAACACTCTCGGGACCTTCTCTAAAACTACCTGTAGATAATTGTTCAGCATTAAACGCTGCTTTTCAAAAAGAGGGTTGTTCTTTCGCGGGGAAATCATGCATGCGCATACCAATTTTACGTGATATTGATCCAGCAATAAAGCAACCAAGTCGTCAATGCGTGACCCGACTGTTTCGGGCCTTAAGGAGGACAAATCGTTCGTGCCTATCTCCAGAATAACAATATCTGGGGCACACCGAGAAACTACGCCTAAATCAAATTTGCGAATCTTCTTCACTGTTCTACCTCCTATACCGTGTAGAGAAACTCTCGCTGTGCCCTTGAGTTTAAAGGTTGGGCACATGCGAATATCCCGTTTATGTTTCAGGTCGCACTGTAGGCGACGAACAAATGAGTGTCCCAGGACCAAAACTTTTGGGGGTACCATTGTGTATTCGTAGCTACTATCTATAAAAACCCTTCTGGGAGAAACTATTAAAATTATCTATCTATCTATCTATCTATCTATATGTATATCAACATATAAATATATAGAAAAACAAGTAGAACACTTCTGTAAATACCTTTCAACTTTAAAGGAGATCTTTCTTTCGCGATGTCACGCTTAAACTGACCGTTTATGGTTTGGGTATTCGGTCTTTGTTAGTTTTCGATTTGCTGCTGGCCATTGACCACCTTTCCCATATTGCGTGCCATCCATTACCTGTCGGTCTTTTAGATAGGACGCAAAGCCCATAATATAAGATTTTTAATTATCGTCGGCAAGGCGTATCCCCTTGGGGGAACACCTTGCCTTAATAGTCTATTTATAAAATCACATTACATAAATTTCTTATTTCCTTCGTAAATATTTTGTTTTATATTATACTGTACAATCATTCACATGATGGTTATAGTCGGTGCAAACACGCAGTTTGCTTGCAACTGCACATACCATTGTTGTTTTTGGAACTTAAAATTTTTGCCAAAAGGATTTACTCGTTGTGATGTTTAATATTGGAGATAAGTTGTTTTTTTTAATTACATTGTACTAGATTATACAGGTGCGCTCAAAAGTTATTGGACACACAGTTTTTTGATTATTATTTTGTCTGGTGGATTTGGTCGGATAATAACAACTTATTTTAACACAGAATTTGAAATAAAATATTTTAGTATTCAAAAGAGCACTCGTGCGTGCCAGCGAGCGCGATAGATTTAAAACAGCTCCCCAGCACAGACGAGACCTAATAGCAGACGGCACACGAGTGTCTGTATCAACAATAAAGAGACGTTCGAAAGAAGGTAATATGAATGGACGAGTACCAAGAAAGAAACCATTGATAAGTTAAGTCAATGTGCTGGCCCGTCTAAAATATGCGTTAGCGAAGAGACATTGGACAGCTGATCAGTGGTTAAAAGTGATGTGGTCTGACGAAAGTACATTTAATCTTTTTCCCAATTGTGGTAAAGTGTATGTGCGGCGGCGACCTGGCAAAAAGTTCCAACGCAAATGTCTTAAACCCACTGTCAAACACGGAGGTGGAGGTATCATGGTTTGGGGCTGTGTTAGCGGGGCTGGTATGGGCAAAATAAAAAGGTTGGAAGGAAAAGTAGATGCTGAAGACTATTATCGCATACTACGTCACGAAATGGCGCCCACTATGAAACTCCAAGGTGGCCGGCAGTCTTTCGTTTTTATGCAAGACAATGCCTCCATGCATACAGCTAAGAAGAATCTAATGTTCCTTGAGCGAAATAACTGTGACTTGCTGGACCATCCTGCCCAATCACCTGACTTAAATCCATTGGAGAATATTTGGTGGGCAATAGAACCTCTTCCTTCTAATGCAAATGATTTGTTCGAGAAAATTCAGCAAATTTGGAATAACTATCCCAACGATAAAACTGATTAGATACATAGAATCAATGCCCAGTCGTATAGAGGCAGTTATTCAGGCCAAAGGATGTCATACCAAGTACTGATTTGGCGTGAAAAAGGTTGTTTTGTGATGTGTGATGTGCTACTGATAATTGTGCAATTTGCATAAATGACAAGGCTATATAGTATGTAGCTCGTAAATGTTGTATTAAAGCATAAACTTTTGAATACTAAAATATTTTATTTAAAATTCTGTGCTAAAATAAGTTGTTATTATCCGACCAAATCCTCGCCAGACAAAAAAAAATCAAAAAACTGTGTGTCCAATAACTTTTGAGCGCACCTGTATATTTACATATCTATAGAGTATATGTTTTTTGTTTAAATATTCATTAAATCAGTATCATATTTAACATTTACATATAACCCAGTGGCACCAATAGGGCTAGTAACATGCTATGGAAGAAATGTTGCAAACACTTTTTAGAAACAGATTTTAAATGATTTTTCCATAGGTTTTCGCACTTTGTATACATGATAATGTTCGCTTAATTCTACTGTTTCTAAAACTTCAATATATATATATATATAGTACTATAAGGTATCATAAAGTACTACGAATTACTTATATAGTAAATAATCACCAAAACGTTTAGGAGGCCAACACTGCCTTCTTGGTTTAGGCGATAGCTATCCGTTTTGACGCGAAACTTCACAGTCACGACCGCTGGATTCGATCGATTTCTTCAACAACTGTTTCCGAGACAACGTGTCCGCGATGTTTTCTGGACCCGGAAGATACTTAACAGTAAAATCATAAATCTGCAATCTCAGAACCCACCTTTCGACTCGTGCAGAGGGCCTATGGGTTTTGGAATAAATCACTTCTAATGGTTTATGGTCTGTCAAAACCTCAAAGTGAATCCCGAACAAATACACATGAAAACGCTCACAAGCCCATACTATACTTAATGCTTCTTTCTGCGTCTGAGAATACCGCCTTTCCATGTCAGAAAGACATCTACTAGCATATGCTACAACCTTCATTACATTTTGTTCCTTTTGCACAAGCACTGCACCAAGACCAACAGGACTAGCATCTGAGATTATCGACGTTTCTGCATCCTTATCAAAAAAAGCCAATGAATCAGCGGTAGACATCGTATTCTTAAGCTCTTGAAACACCTTATTCTGTTCATTTCCACAAACAAAAGGTGTAGTTGTCCTGGTTAACTTCCGCAGGGGTTCAGCCGTTATAGCTAAATCTGGAATGAACAGACTACAGAAATTTACCAGACCAAGAAAA